GTGAATTTCACAGCTTCTGACCAACCTGCCAGATCTGAAAAAAATATCAATACAAAGTGTGAAAAAGAGTTCCCTCAGCTAAGCACAAACTTCACAAAAGGAGCAACCCTAAACAATGATACTGGAAGCATGACCACTAATGACACAATGGCAAATCGTTTGGCTAAAGCTAATCGTTTTACCATTCGTACAGGTGCTCCTCTCAAAGCAGGTGGACGAATGAACCTCACTAATACAGAAGAATTCCCAACTTTAGGATCTACTACAATACAAATTCCTTCACAAAGTTGTCAATCTTCTTCCCAAGTAACAGTGACATCTAAACCAGAATCACCCGTAAGCCCAGGGACAAGAAAAACATTACTCTTTAGAATTAACAGCCAAGAAGAAGGTAATAACTCGTCTAAGCGGAGAGCTCCGAATGTATCGATCCAAGTTTCTCGAACTCAAAATGTAATTCCACCAGATGGTGCTAAAAACTCTGTAGCAGACAGTGGGACAATGAAAAAGGTGTCGAGTTACCAAAATATAATGCTTCAAAAACCTGGAACCTCAGTTACAACAAGTAGTCTTACATCAGTATCATCCGACATGCACCTAGACGTTAGAGCTTCAAGACCTGGTGTGAAACCATCATGGGTCAGTACAAAAACTGCCAGTCATGGAAAATTTGATGATGAATTTCCTCAATTAGGTGAAACAAAGGAAGTTCCTCAGTCACTTACTAATAATGCCTGGTCCTCGGTCACTATCCCTGTTAGTAGCTGTGATGTGCCAGTTACTGAATCAGGTGACACTTCTAAACCTGCAATGGTGATGGTGAAAAATAAGTCCAAGAAGAAAAAGCAGAAACCCGTTAACACTGAGATAAACATTAAAGAAAAAAACGAAACAAACAAAAAGAAAAAGAAAGAGACTGAGTTCTTCATAGGAGAAGATAACGAAAAAATTAATTGTAGCAGCAAATGTTCCATTGAAAATCAAGAAAATGAAGATCCTGGTTGTACCCAAGAACAAGAGTCCATCACAGACCTAAAGAAGTCTTCAGAAGAAAACCCTAAAATAACATCTTCAGATAGTACAGAGGAGTTAACCCAACAAACTAAGAGTCTTGCTATAGAAGACTTTCCACCTCTCGATGTTCCATTGAGTAAGAAGCCTCCAACTCCACCTGGCTTTAGTTCTAAAACTAGTAATGTTATCACCCCCCCTCCTCCTCCTGGATTTGATTCTGGCCAAAGTGTTGTAAAGCCAAGTGTTAATATTTCACTGAGTTCAGTAGCAAGACAGTTGACGTGTACATCTTCTAATATGTCTCCTGTATCCTCAATGACCTTCATCAGCAGTAGTGGACAGACCTTTCCTTTGTCTACACAACCAACGATACCAAATCATAATTATACCCAACCTATAGACTTTCAGGAGCGAAACCATGCCCTCATTCAAGCGATTCAGGTTATACTTGACGGAAACATGGAGCGGTTTCGGAGTTTCAAAACATTTTCTGGACATTTTCGACAAAACCTCATCTCTGCTCAGGAATATTTTGAAAATTGCCTTGACATACTAGGTAAAGCCGAATTTATCCGAATTCTCCCAGAGTTAGTAGTATTGCTTCCGGACATCAACAAACAGCAAGAGTTATTGATAGTGCTCAACAATTTCAAAAAAAGTGAATTTGACAAAGCTGGAGGAGCCATCCCAAAGAACAATATATCAGGAGTGTGTTATTTCTCTAGTATTCCGTTTTTGGTTTGTGCAACATGTCAGCAAGTTTTGGCTAAAGAAGACTTTCACGACCACATGGCAGTTCATAATCCAGATACAGATAATCTGTTCCCTCCATTATCTGCACAGAGTGCCACTACCCGTATATCTTGGGTGAAAAAGTGACCTTCGTTTTTTTTTTGTATAGAAGACTGTTGTACAGGCCTAGGGAATTTAAAAATGTCTTATACTACCTTGTGGAAGTTTAAAATAATACATGTAGACTTTAAGGCTGTTCTACTGAAAATTATAAAAGAAGAAAAATATTGTAATTGTTAAAAACTTGAGCATTAATGAAGCAATGCTTATTTGGTCACTGGATTTCAGATGTCATTATTAACAGCTTTTTATTTTATAAAAAATAATTAACAGATCTGTAGTTTCATAAAAGTAAAAGCTTATAATTTGTTAACCAGTTTTGTAATTTTTTAAAGAACGTAATACGCACTGAAGAATAGAAGATACTCTCGAAAAGTAGTACACGACTTGACGTCACAGAAGAAACTACTTCCAACATTTTGCTTCTAAGGTTATTCTTATTAAAATACCTTGTAAACAATCTTAAGATCCAGAACAGGTGCAGTATAATAGGCTTTAACACGTTAAATTGTTTGGCTTTGTTTTCCCTCTGTAGATGTTCGTACATCCCCTGGTTTGGGTTTATGGAAACAAAATTTTGCAGGTGAAATGTTGGAAATACACCTCTTTCCCTAGGAGTCAAGTTGTGTATTATTTTAGGAGTTCACATGATTACAAATAATGTATTTAGGCTGTAAAATATTACTAAGTTGGCTGTGTGGACTGTCTTACAACTAAATCAGTGGGATTTTAGGGTTTTTCTGTATATTTTGTTTGCAAAAAAAAGAAACTAACTAGAAATTTATGTTTATTGCTTCTTTAGAAGAATCTAAAGACCAAAACTTATACATTTATAGTTTTTATTTCGATTATACTTACTCAGCGTGACTCTTAAACTAAAATTGACTCTGTAGTTTTGTTTTGTATTTGCTACACTTTCTATGAAAAAGTTACACGAAAAGTTATTCAACTTCTGAAGGTTTTTTTTTCAAGCTTCGATAGATGTAAAAATTAAAAGAAGCAAATCAAGACCCTAACATTTAAGTTTTATAGTTTAAATAACTTAGTTATAAAGTCACTTGTGTAAAACTCCACAGTAATAAGATGTTACTTGTCAGCATAATTCTTTGCATAAATAAAATTGAGAGAAGAAAAAAATATATATATATATATACATTTTTTTATTTTTTTTTTCAAATGGACTGTTTCTCACCTTTCTTAGCACGACATCCTTCCCCTAAAATGAGATTGAATTATCTTTGGATATAGTGATGAAAAAACAAAAAAAAACCTCCCATATCCTCAGAATGATCATACTTTTAACTTTATGAACACCATAGGTCATCAGCATACACATAAAGAATGTTTTTTCAAATACCTAACACTGAAAATTTGAAAGAAAAATTAGTTTGTTTTTTTATCACTCTACTCGGGGATTGTTCAAAGTTAACACTAGCCTTTAAGATAATTCATTGTTTTGATGAGTGTACAGTTTATCAGGACGTGGAGGGGTCACAATATAAAGTATGTTTGGAAAGGGGGTTGTCAGAAAAAAATGTTTGCACACCACTGGTCTTCTAGTAGCCATTGTAGTAGAGGTTCAACACTGCTTTCTGTCACTGAAAATCAAGTAAACAGTTATATTAATATAATTTATGATCACTATGTATACCTTTAAATTAACAGGTATTCGGGATGACCAAAAACTGCTAATTTACAGGTATTCGAGATGACCAAAAACTGCTAATTTACAGGTATTCGAGATGACCAAAAACTGCTAATTTACCGGTATTCATGATGACCAAAAACGGCTAATTTACAGGTATTCGGGATGACCAAAACCTGCTAATTTACAGGTAATCGGGATGACCAAAAACGTCTAATTTACCGGTATTCAGGATGACCAAAGATTTTTAATTTACAGGTATTCAAGGTGGCAAATTAGCAGTTTCCGGTCATCCCGAATACCTGTAAATTAGCAGTTTTCCGGTCATCCCGAATACCTGTATATTAGTAGTTTTTGGTCATCTCGAATACCCGTAAATTAGAAATTTTCATTATCTTGAATACCTGTAAATTAGCTCATTAGACTAGTGTCTTCTATATGATTAAAAATTTTGCTGGAATTGTGACCAGATATTTTCTTGCCATTGACTGTCCTGCTTTTGAAAAGTAACTATTTTTAAAGTATTTCTCATTGGTTGTGAAGGTTCAAAGCTGAAACTTGGAGACATTAGATGTTTTAAATCTGGAGTTACGGTAGTTTTATTCATTCAATTCCTATGGAATTGCATTTGGTTTTAATTATTTTAATATCTGGAGTTACAGATAGTTTTATTTATTTAGTATCACTCTGGAGTTACAGAAAGTTTTATTCATTTTGAATAGAGTTCACGTAGGTTTATTCATTTTGAATCAATGGAGTTACACGTAGTTTTATTCAATTTGAATCAATGGAGTTACACCTACGTTTATTCATTTTGAATCTCCCTATAGTTGCACACAGTTTGTTACAAGTAGTTTTGTGTATTTTAAATCTCTGGAGTTACATTTAGTTCTACTTATAAACAATAGAGTATATTTGAACAAACTGAATTATTCTTATTAGTTCTGACATTGGTGAACTGTTTAATCACCGAAAAGTCGGTAAAAGTAAACTGATGGGTTGTTTCACTTAACTTTATAACCTTTTTATAAATGATTAGTTTCTAAGAAGAAATTTAAAAAAATCTCTGTTGAGGTGGGGGAATTGAAAGATAAAACGTTATCCAGACTACTAATTGGATTGGTAAGGTTGTAATGTAGCTGTTTACATAAGTCAAATATCAATTTCAACCAAGACTCTTAAAATTAATTGGTGGTTCCGACCTTAGGTTAAAAAAAAAGTCCAAAGCAGGTTCTTGAATCTTTGATCCATATGTGAACATAGGCTAAACAGCCAATTTAAAGAACGTTCAGGCAGTGGCGTATTTAGAGGGTGGTCTAACTGGTCCAGGTCCTTCTGGACTGTACCGTTTTTAATATTATTATTTATACAAAATGTATCGAAGACTCCTGCTACTTCGGCAGGATACAGAATATAGAAAGCGAGATATTGTTATTTTCTTCTATTGGATTTGGCCATCATCCCCGACCACTTCATCCTTCTTAGACGTCTGCATACGCCAGTTATAGCCAAACTTCATCCTTCTTAGAAGTCTGCATACGCCAGTTATAGCCAAAATTCATCCTTCTTAGACGTCTGCATACGCCAGTTATAGCCAATGTTCATCCTTCTTAGAAGTCTGCATACGCCAGTTATAGCCAAACTTCATCCTTTTTAGAAGTCTGCATACACCAGTTATAGCCAATGTTCATCCTTCTTAGACGTCTGCATACGCCAGTTATAGCCAATGTTTGGCTATAACTGGCGTATGCAGACTTCTAAGAAGGATGAATTTTATTTAGAACTGCTGACCCGAGTAAGAACAATCAGTTGTAACTCCTTTACGTCTAAAAGTGCGGAGTGTCCTCAACAGAACATCGGGACTCTAACTTTGGACTTTTCTATTTGCAACACAACTTGTCGATCTTGATGACACTCTTCGTCCGTTTGAATTCAGAATGTTTTGTTTTTGGATTTTGTTCAGAATTATAAATCAATGTGTTTAGGACACGTTAATGTTCTATAAAGTGTGCATATCTTCAAATGTCGTAAGATTCGGTTATCTAGTTTGCCCCCATTACTCATTGTTCCACAACATCAATTTTCTCTTCTGTTATTTTGTATCTTAAATGTATTGGTGTATCAGGCGCAACCAAGGAACATTGTGTAGCTTTGTGTTTAACTTCAAACAAACCAACCAAGGAAAAATAAATATGAAAGAAACTTACCATTTGACATACCTAATGTCTCCTGGTAGCTCAGCGGCAAGTCAGGGCTTAAAGCGATAAAATTTGGGTTTTCATACCAGCGTTGAGAAGAGCACAGTTAGCCCATCGTGCTTAACAACAAAACATCTCTGATAGCTTCCCCTCACTTGAGGGGCTCAGTGGTAATTCTGAAAGTATAAGTCACTAAAATTCAGATTTCGATACCCGTGGTGGGCAGAGCACAGATAGCCTATTGTGTAGCTTTGTGCTTAAGAACAACCAAACCAAATTTATATCTGATATACAAATGACTGGGAACTATATCAGCCTCAAAAAGAAAAAATACTTTGAACAACTGAGATAAAATTAAATATTGGAAATACTTGTACTCGAAATAATATTTACTTATTACATTTCTCGGAGATAAATACGTGATAATTCTTTAATGTATTGTTTTCTGTGTTTGTTAGTTTTTCAGGACTATTTGCACATATTAGCGATTCGCGTAATATTCAGAATATAGCATAAAGAAATCGAAGAACTTTGTCCTCCTGATCCTCCAGATATTCTTTTAAAGTTCAATAAAATTCGAACGTGGGATATAATGAGAGAATCAATCAATTCCACTATTCGTTGGTACAACATGGCCCAAGAGTTAGCGGATAGTGCTGCCTGCCGGTTGTCTTCTTTTTGGTCAAAGGCATAAAACAAAAAGGGTCGCTTCTTCCCCCTTTTCTCACGAGATTTTAATCTATCCTTATGGGATAACCCTTCCGTCCCAGAAATCTATCTAGCATCTCTTCTCCGAACCCCTTTCAATAAGCCTGAACTACTGATTCGTAAAAGCTGTTTATCATAGAGCAGTTTATTAATAAACTGGTGTACACAGAAGCGTTTTTTAAGGCGACATGCCAGTCATATTCGCCAATTTTTGTTTACGTATAAACTGTAGTTTCGTATGGGTCGTCGTAAATCTTCAATATTGATAAACAAATCAACTCAATTTAAACCAAAAGTCTTAATAACTAGCTCTGAAAAGAACGTTGTTAATTATGGCGTTCCTACAGCATCTGGATGTATATGACATCCAAATTCTTTGGAATTTAAAGTACGGTGAACTGGTTACAGTTTATTCTCTTAATGAGGCACGAGGGAGCGCTTTGGATATCTGTTTTAAACTAACGATTAATTATACCCGTAGAGGATCATCAACATTATCCGATTTTTTTTCACACAGCCGTAATACGCCGATGACTGTAAATTTAGTTTTTTCAGCAGGGAATGCGTTAAAAAACCATAGTTTTTAAGTCAAAAATTAATTCAGGTTATTTGGGTGAGCGTTCCATTCCGATATTGAATACTTATAACTTTTTATTTTGAAAGGAACTTTTAGAATTATGGAAAAACTTTGTTTTTTGCGAGGTGCGATAGATGGCAGCACTATCCTGATGAAATAGATGAACCAGCCATGTGTAAATTATTTAAAGAACCAAATTAAGCGGATAACAAGCTTTGGGGATCAACCACTAAGGAAATGTGATGCAAATTTTGGTCACTGTATATTTAACAAATGCTGAAAGAGAATTGGAAATTACTGTGTTGTGGCTGTATAACGTTTTATTCAAATGTTTAAAAATTAATCGTTTTCGATTCTATTTCAGTACTATAAAAAACGTCTCAAACGTTACGAAAGTTCTGCTAACTTTGTAGTCGGTGACATTTGTAATGTAAATGTTATCTAACCATAATTATATAGATAAAAAAGTACCAAATTGTTCTATAGCGTATCAACGTAATTTTAATAACTCTGGGAAATACTAACTGTTTTCCTAACTATTTTGATCATAGGCGATGCACGAGTCTTTTGTTTGGATAGATTTTTTATCACGTGAGTGGAGTGGGGGGGGGGTTTGCATTGTTTGGAAGAATCAGTTTGAGCTCCTACATATAAACAAACTTTCCTCAGTGACACATATACACTGTCTGTGTGTCTCACGACATGTAATAATATTTTTTGAATCGCGAAGGACAACTTATATTGGGAGGCTAAGCCTCTTATACGCGCCTCCCCTGATTGTGATATTACAGGAGGTAATTAAAATTTGATTACCCAGTCAAGCCGTCTCAAAACTTTTACAGGAGGTTCATTACTCATTATTCTCTGCAAGTTGCCCCCCACCCCAGTGTCTCAGCGGTAAGTCTGAAGGCTTGATACCCGCGGTTGACACATAAAGACATCCCCTTGTGCTTAACAACAAACAAACTACAAGTTAAATTTTCCACTTGGATCCAATCC